GAATTCGTCCAGCCCCACTGGTGTGCTTCAGTGGATTGAGCACCCTCGCAGGGACTGAGAGTTCCCCGTTCAATTCCCGGTCAGGGCACCTGCCCAGGTTGCCCTGCTGGGCTTGATCCCCAGTAGGGGGCATGCAGGAGGCAGCTGATGGGTGTTTCTCTCTGACATAGGTGTTTCTATCTCTCTCTCTCCCTTCCTGTTTCTCTTTAAAAAAAAAAAAAAATCAGCCCTGGTTGGTTTGGCTCAGCAGTTGGAGTGTCTGCCCTAAGACCAGGGGGTCATGGGTTTGATTCTGGCCAAGGGCATGTACCTCAGTTGCAGTTCGTCTCCAGCCCTGGTGGGGTCATGCGGGATGCAGCCAATCTCTCTCTCTCTCTCTCTCTCTCTCTCTCTCTCTCCCTCCCACCCTTCCACTCTGTCTGAAGATATTTGAAAAAATATCCTCATAAAAATCAATTACATAAATAAATAAATAAATAAATAAATAAATAAATAAATAAGGATTAGCCCAGCTTGGCCGGAGTGGCTCAGTTGGTTGAGCATTGTCCTGTGCACCAAAAGGTTACTGGGTTAGGTTACTAGGTTGTGGGTTCAACCCCCAGTCGGGCCACACTGAAGACAACTGATCAATGTTTTTCTCTCACCTCTCTCTCTCTCTCCCCCCCTCTCTCTAAGCATGTCCTTGAGTGAGGATTGGGGGCAAAAATGATTTAAAAAAAGGATTAGCCCACTCCTCCCCAGAAAATATATTCCGTTTCTGCCCCTCAAGAAATGGACACTTTTAAGAAGCGCTCCTTTCTACAGTAGGTCCTTCCATTCTCCCTTGAGGAAGACGGTGCTTTCCCCCAACTTTGAATGAAATGAACTTCACTCCGTGTCCCAGAATCTCTCAGCTACCTATCCTCCACCACTGTCCTCTGACAACATCTCCTCCCTTGCTGGGACCGCACCTTCCAGCACACCTGAGACTAGGGTGACCCAAGGAATCCTGGGGTTGTCGTTTTGTGGCCCTTTAACTGAAGGGTGGTTCACCGAGCTCTCTCGGTGGGAGAGGCTGCGCGTACCTGGGAATCCTGGTAGCCCTGGAGCAGCAGGAAGTAGGGCCGGTTGCTAGGGGCCTGGATAAGGCACTGAGTCAACTGATCAAAGTCGCTGGGGTCTGTCGGTACTATTTGGGCATCAGCGGCCCCTGGTGCCATGCTAAGTGCCTGCTGCCTGCGCTCCTGCTGCCGCCTTCGCCGACCCTGCAGACTGAGCTCTGACACGCTTCGCCGCAGGGACAGGTTTTCGGAGCGCTCCTTGCCCGCAGACCCAGCTGGGGTCCCTGATCCCGACCCTGGGCCAGGGCTCGCCAGCGCCGCCCCACCGGATGCCGCCCGCGAGCGATTCTTCTGTGGCCGCCACAAGGCGGGGCCCGTGCCTAGGGAGAGAGATGAAGAGCAATAAGGCTGCAAGAGGGAGAAGACACAGGAAGAGGCAGACTCAGAAATCTGGAGATTATCAAGATACAAAGCGTTGGCCAAGAGAGATGAGGCTGCTTCCCACACTTGGATTTTTGCATATGCTGTTCCCTGTGCTTGGAATACATTTTCTGCCTGACTCCTACCCATCTTGAAGTTTTCACTTCAGAAACTCATTAATTCTAGGCACTAGGGACTTTGCAGGGAACAGAGAAGACCCTGCCTCCAGGAAAACAGAACACCTTCCCTGACACTTCAAGTTGAAGCAAAGAATGGCACCCATGGGCACTTTGGGCTTTGTCTGGGCCCAGCACAGCCCTGCCGCATAGTAGGTGCCTAGTAGAAACTAGGTGAAGGGTGAACTGATGTGTTTCTCACTAGGCTGTAAAGTCTAGGAAGGAGGAAACTTTACCTGTCAATGTCCCCACTGTATTCCCCCAGTGTCCTAAATGTGTGGCCCAGAGTAGGTACCCAATGAATGTTGTTTGTTTGTTTTTTGTGGTATGTGCCCCTAGCGGGAACCAAACCTGGGACTTTCTGGTTTGCAGGCTGACGCTCAACCGCTGAGCCAAACTGGCCAGGGCCCAATAAATGTTTTTTAAAGGAAAAAAAAGAAGACAGTGATGGTTAAAATTGCTATTCTTTATTAAGCAATTAATGTGCCAAGCACTGTGCTCAAACCCTACATACACTATCTCACTGGATCTTCACCTAGCATTTTGCTGAGTTTAACCGGCTAAGAACGGATGGGAACCTCAGCTTGAGTTCAAAGCCTATGAGTTTAACTGCCACACCATTCTATCTCCCAAAAGGGGACTCAGAAACAGAAAAGAGGAGACAGGGCTCCTCCAGCAGCCCCGAGTCCTGTGAGGCTGGCCCCACCCCTCCAGGCCCTGCCCCACACTTGCTATTTCACCAGTGGCACCACCTCCTGTTCCAGGCCCAACCGTCTCAAAGAGCAGGCCAACAGGTAAGCACCCTTCCCTGGTCTCCATCCTCAAGTCCCAGCACTCAGACTTGGAAGCCAACTCAGTTTAAGGCCACCTGTTCCAAAGCCCGCCCCTCTGAGGCTCCGCCCATTCTTAGGCTTTGATCAGGCAGCCCATTTCTTCCAGCTCCAGGTCTCTCCCCCTTCTCCAACCACCTAAATCTGCCCCTCAGGAACCACTTTTAATCTACTGCTCTGAGAGGCCTCCTGCCTCAGGGACCCACAACACCACTCATCCGCCGGATCCAACACCTCTTATTCCAGGCTACTTATTATGCAGGCCCCGCCCCAGCATCATAGGCCCCGCCCATGGACGCTGCACTTACTCCACGGGCTCTGTTCTAGCCCATTTGGCTAACTAGTCTGGCCCCAGCTCCTGCTTCCACTTGAACCCGTGCTGTAGGTCACACCCAGCCGCCTTCCAGGGGCCTCGCTTCCAGCCCGCCCTCTCACTCCAGCCCTGCAGGCCCCGCCTCACCCCGGCCCCGCCTCCAACCCCTGCCCATCCCTCCACCTGGCCCCGCCCCGAGGCCGGCTGCAGCCTTCCCGCAGGCCCCGCCCCCAAAGGCCGGCGCGCCGTCTCACCTTCGCCGTCGGAAGCCCCGAAAGCCTCCTGCTCCAGGCGGCGAGCTTCCTCGCGGCCACGCAGCTCGAAACGCCGCGCCCAGCCTGGCCGCGCCCGCCACAGTTCCTGCACCAGCAGCGGGCGCTCCGAGTCGCCCAGCACACGCAGGTGCTCTGCGCGCCACTCGCCGTTTCCCAAGCCCCCGGCTGCCGGCCGGCCCAGCGCGTCGCACAGCGCGAAGGCGTCTACGCAGTTGCTCTCGCCGGGGCCGCCGCCGGGGCTGCCGGCCAGCCCATAGCGCTCCAGCGCCTCGGCCACCAGCTCGCGCGCCGTGGAGCGCGCCGTGGCCAGCACACTCTTGTAGTTCGCGCCCGACGCCAGCCCGGCGCCGAAGATCTTCAGGACGCCCGGGGGCGCAGTGGCGCGAGTGGCCAGTGAGGGTTCGGGGGCCACGCCCGCGGCCAGGTCAGGCAACTTCTTCTCGCTGGCCCAGCGCTGCGCGCTCCCCGGAGTCCCGGGACCTCCTGTGCCGCCAGATCCCGTGCCCCCGGCCCCCGAGCCCCGGAAGAGCTGGGAGATGCGCTTGGCCCGACTCCCCGAGGCTCCCCCGGCCGCCTTAACCGCGCCCACTCGCCGCAGCTCCACGTGCGGCGGCGGCGGGGGCAGCGGCTCGCTGCTGCGGCTCCCCGTGTCTGAGGAGGAAGACCTAGGAGCAGAGATGTGGGGGAGAGAGATCCGGAGACACATGCAGAGACGGCGGAGTTAGAGAAGGAGGGAGGTGAACAAAGACCCAGATGGGGGGGCAGAGACCCAGAGACAGAGTGACAGAGACCCACAAAAGGGGAGAAGGTAGGGTGTATGGAGATGAGGGATGAACAGAAGCCAGAGGCAAGGAGAGAAATAAAATTAAATAAAGTAAATAAAGGCGAATCCCACAGAAGGAAATTTCAAGAGGTGAGCGGGGAGAGGAGGATAAAACACCTATGCTCTTCCGGGGTCCCCATCCCTGTGCCCACGGGCCTAAGTACATCTCCAGGCCCAGCACTTCCCCCACCCCAGTCCTATATCACTGTGGCCCACAGTCCTCCCAACTGCCAGCCCACTTGCCCATTCAGAGACCCCTGGCATTGCCCAGTGCAGGGACTGGGTCATATAAACAAGGACAGATTGGAGGCAGATGGGGCAGGGGCAGGAGTTCTGAGGAGGGCACTCACTTGACAGAGGCAGCGCTGGGCCAACGCCGCCCCAGCTTGGCCAGCTGCTTCCGGGGAGAATTGATCCACAGGCCCACCGGGAGATGAAGCTTCCCAAAGCGAGGGCTCCCGCCCTCCTTCCGTTCACCAGATAGCATGGCCCTAAGGGAGGGTGGGTAAGGCCCCAACTCCTGAGGCTCTGAGTGGCGGGGAAGGGCTGGAGGGGGGCCTGGACTCAAGTCAGAGCAAGGAGGGCGTTGGGGCTCAGATGCCAGAGTCTGGGCAGAGGAGAGGGATGGGAGCCTGGACTCCTGGGTGTTGGGATGGGAAGTGGCTGAGGACTGACTCCTGGATCTGAGGTAGGAGGGGTCTGGACTCCTGGGTCCCCGGCTCTTACCCTGCTTCGGGTCCAGCAGCACCCGGGGGGCCCTGGCTCCGTCGGCCTGGGTCAGTTCCTGACCCCACCGCTCTTGTTCAGCTTTTCCTCTGCCCCAGCTCCCAGCACTGGGTGGGGGACAGGAAAAGGCAAGAGGAAACCCGGCAGGAAGAGCGGGGAGGGGGCGTCCTGTGAGGGACCGGGCCTGGGGGAGGAGATCTGGGTAGGGCTGGCTCTGCCCCACTCCTTAATTCTGGAATTACTGCAGCCAGTTGGTCCCTGCCAGGACCCAGGGGGTCCGGTTTCCAGCCCCTGCTCCCTCAGCCGGGAGACCATCCCCAGACCTCTCCTCTTGGGGAAACCAAAAGTTAGGATCAGTATGGAGGAGAGTCAGATATTTAGACAACCAGATAAATCTTTATTGGCTCCTGGATTGTGTGGCCTTTTTCTCTGGAACCTCGGAGCTCTGAGCAGCTTCCTTGGCAGTGCTAAACCAGGCCTTTATGGAATCAATGGAGTATCCAAGATTCTTCTCAGACCAATAGCAAAGCATCCTGGGGGAGGGGGGTGCAAATACCGAACCAGATCAGATCCCAACCTCCCTATATATGATTTAATCTAGCAGTAATCCAAGCTTCATCCTCCTAGGTAAGCCCCCATCTGTTTTCTAAGCCCCAGCCCCAGTGGAAGTCCAGCTCTCGGGGTTCCATAGCTTCCAGACCCCACTCTACGCTGGAAATCCCACCCCTCACTCCAAGCCCTGCCTTGTTCAGTGGGCAGCTCACAAGATGACAATGCTGGCAATCAGCACCACAAAGCCCCAGATCAGCAGCCCGACCAAGAGGCTTCTCAGCATAGTCTCCACCGTGGGAGACTGTGTGGATGACGACGGTGAAGACTGGAGGGTTGTGGATGACATGTTGGAACCCCAAGACATCCCACTCCTGTTTGAGGAGTTTGATGACAATGTCTCCTCCATGGTTCTTTTGGGCAACACTGATAGAGGAGGAGGAGGAGGAGGAAGGAAGGAATAGTCCTGGGAAGGCACAAAGAAGGCCCCACCACAGCCAAGGCAAACCCTCTCTGCCCCAACCCACCCCAGGACCCAGGCCCTCCCGGAGATAATCACGTGCTTCCAATCGCTTATAGCCAGAACACACCCAGAGGGGAACCCTGCCACGGAGGCCAGAGGCCACACCCAGGACAGGAAGTGACACCCTCCAGGCCTTAAAACCACACCCCAGCAGAAGGCTATTCCTCCATAAGCCACACCCCTGAAGCAGACCGCCCCCGACCCCAGAACTCAGCACCTCCTACTTCTCTCATCTCAGCACTGACCTTTGACATGAAAACGGATGATCGTAGCTGGGCTGGATTTCACTGTGCCCAGCTGGCAGCGGTAGGTGCCTGCATCCTTTGGCTCCACCATGGTCTTGATCAGGGTGGGCTCTTTCCCCTTGTACAGCAAGGTCTCAGACTTGTTCCTCCAAACCTAGACCCAAGCTCAAGGGGTCACAGGGGCCTGGGGAATTCAGGGGTTGGGGGAGTACAGGGTCTCAGCGGGGGGAGATGGGAGTCCTGTGTACTGGTCAGGGTATAGGGTCCCCAGGGGATCAGTGGCAGCCAAACCTAATAGGTCATGGGTCATGGGGATTGTAGTGCAGGCCTGTGGATGCAGGGTTCACACAGGCCTGATGGACTTGGAGTTCAAGGGTACAGGAATTGGAGGGCCCCACCCTGTAAAAACTGTAATCGGTCAGGCCTTGGGAGGCTTGATGCCAGTTGAGCTCACAGTCCAGGATCATGTCTTCCATTTCATGGACCTTGACATTGCGCTCTGGGGATAGAGGGTTACAGTGGGATGCTCCTTTATGGCTCTTGGCCGTCCCCCAATTCTCTTCCACCTGGTCAGCCCCGCCTTTTCTCTTCAGCTGCCCGTAGTCTCGGCCCTCCCTACACTCAGTCATCCTCTGGCTCCGCCCCTTTTGTGCCAACCCCTCCTGTTGGGCCCAGCTCTCTCACCCCCGCAATCCATGGATTTCCGGCAAGCGTGAACCTGCTTCTGGCAGTTGCTGCACCAGATCAGGGTCTGCAACATCATACCTGGAGGGGCAGGGGCAAGGCTGTATTCGCCCACTAAGAGGCGGGGCTAAAAGGAGCGAGCAAGGCCCAGGGCAGGGCGGGGCTAGAGCGCAGCTCTGTTGCAAGCCGGGATCTAACCAGGCTCAGGAAAGAGTGCTCCCCAAGAAGGCCTTGGTGCAGAAGGAACAGTGAAGACCCAGGAACCTCTCCGACGTGGAGAATGAAGAAACACCGAGACCCAAAAGGGGGAGGAGAAAGGCTGGGTATTCACAGTGCAGGAATGAGGGAGAGAGCGTCAGCTCCTATAATCCGGACTCACCACATTTGTTGGGACAAAAAGCTGCGTCGGAAGAGAAAAAAGAGAGAGAGAGAATCAAAATTTTAAGTTAAAGGGGATGAGAGAGGGGGCAAAGGAAGAAGCAGGAGCTAGAGCTCCTGGTTTTGAGGGAGGAAGGACCTGGGTGCCAGAACCCCTGAATGTGAGGGAGGAGGGGACTGGCAGAGCTGAGGAACCAGACTTGGAGAAGCAAGGGGCTGGGGACAAGGACGCTTGGACTGTGGAAGGAGGGAGCTGGGGTCCAGGACTCCCATCGTCCCTCACCGTCTTTTTGGAACAGAGCAACATATCTGGCAAAGGTTTCCTTTTGCTGGTGCAACATCCAGAACAGCTCCTTCACGAAGAGCTCACCTGGGAAGAAGCAGGATGGAGCAGAGTGGTCCCCTCCCCCTTCCTGTGAGGTACAGGATTGTGCCTGTCTGCAGAGCCTGGCACTCCACTTTTTGGCCTCCTCGGGGAAGAACAGTGAAACTGAATTCCCACTTAACGTACTGGCTAAGGAACAGCTGGGATGAGAGCACTGTTACGGTCTCTACATCAGGGTGAAAAGGCTGCAAGGCCACACATTTGGGAACCGGCAGCTCCAAGAACTGACCCTTGGCAGTCTGGCTCCAGAGCCCAGTGTCTGACCAGGCATCACCAGCAATCACTTCCCTGAGAGACTCTGGAGCCCCTCTCCTGTCTCCTCCCTATATTACCTTTTACATCACTGTCTGTGATGCGTTTCAGATCTTTCAGCAAACTCCAGGATGCCTTTTCCAGTGTGGGCTCATCTGTGGGGAGAGACAGAACTCCAGATTCCAGTGTTACTATCCCGTTGGCGCACCTAGTCTTAGAAACTACAATACCCAGTGGGCCACTGGGCAAAAATAGGCCTGGTTAAGGGATTATCCGCCCGTTGCTTTCTGGGAGTTGTAGTCTTGTGCATAACACTGCAGGATAACAGTATTGCTAGCCCTGGGGAACCCCGAATTCTGTATCCAAACCTGCTCCATCCCAGAACCCGGAAGACTCTGCCTCCAGTCTCCCCGCCCCGCACCCAGCAATCCTAGCCCCAGACACCTCCTTTCCCAGGACTCCGGGCTCCGCATTGCCCTCACCGACGACCCCCATATAGGAATCCTCGTCCAACGGCAGATCCTTGAAATCCTGCACGGCCTGATTTACCCTTTTCATCAAGTTTTTGTGATGCTCAGTTTCCAGGTGGCCAGGAAGGTAATCCATCTCCAAGGATTTTAGCGCCTCCACGACCTTTGTATCACAAATGACACAACCCAGGGCCGGAGGCAGGCAGCTGGCCAGCGCCGCCACCAGGAGGGGAAACCGCGGCCCCATTGAGGTCAGAGCGTTCAATCCACGCTCACCCCGAGGAGGTGAGCGCTAAACGAAGAGGTGCCCTTCCCCGAGACTAAAGAACCCCCAATTTGCAGGGCGCACACTTCTCGTTAGGAAACCGAGGAGTCCCGATGCCCCCTAAACAGCCGCTGCCCGATCTTGACTCCAGTCCTGTGCCCTCAAACACTAGGGTTCGCTGAAGAGCCGAGTCCAGGTTCTGAGGGCTTTAAGAGAGGAGGGCCGGGCCACGTTCTTCCACTCTAATATTTTCCCACCACTAAAATTAAGGGTTTTGTTAGGGACGTGGGTGAAGTTGGTTGAATGGTAGAGAGAGCAATTGATTGGGGTTACGGTTCGTCCCTATCTACAAGGTCCTCCCACAGCCTCCGTCTTCTAGCTCCCTACATGGAGCCCCGAATTCTCAAGAGATATTCCCTGGGGGCTTCCTTGGCCCCGCCCAGAAGCCCAACTCTGAGTCTGATTGGACCGCAACAAAGGGAGTCCCCGCCTATCGCGCCTTGATGTCACAGAGGCGGCCGCCCTTTTAGACCCGAACTTTCCCAGCATCTATCGAAGAAGTACCCTATGTGCTCCGGCTTTCCAGAGACGAGGAAAGACATCTGGCCTTCAGCTTCCTCCCCAACCTGGGCCCCAGACCCAAACTTCCAACTAGATGCCCACGACCAAAGTCGAGTTACGAGGACGCGAGAAGTGGCCCTTCCCAGCCCTGGGACTACGACTCCCAGAAGGCCCCGGGTCTCAGACTACCGCGGCCAACCCCGTAGCATTATGGGAAATGTAGTTCAAAAATTGTACTCTGTGCAATTGCACGGTCTCCTCCACCTTCTCTACCAGCTTCTGGGGCTGAATGCCAAAGTCCTAGAGGAAAGTGAGGTATGGGGGCCGATACTGAGAGGGGAGAAAGGAATTGGGGCTCAGAGACCACAAGTCTGGCAACAAGAGGCTGCCAGATCTGAGCAGGGAGAATATCCCAAGACATGAGCCATGAGAGTCCCTGAAATTCCGCACTTTTCCTACACACACATGCACACGCACGCGCACGCACACACACAAGACTCCACAAAATCTGCAGAGACGGGTTGGTGATGTGGAGTTTTAATTCATACCTCCCCCTCCCACCTGTGGCAGCTGAGTAGGAAATAGTCCCCCAAAACTCCCTGAGGAGACTAGAAAAGGGGCTTAGATTCGTAGACAATTCTGTAATAAAAGTAGCTATCTACCTTCACCCCCTTCAAAAAGCATCAAGGGGCTCCTGAAATCTGAGTCAAGAATCCCACCCTTCTTGACCAGATCCTGGTCAAGAGTACTCCTGCTTGGGGATGAGACCAGTCCGGGACTGCATGCCCTAGGATCTTTCCATCCCTCGCTTGCGCAAAGCCAGATTTAGTGTTTCTGTGAATTTGGGGCCAGCCAGACAATAGGGCACATTTCCTCCAGCTGACTTCCGGAAAATCCAACCCACCTCCAGCAGCCCAGCTGCAGAGGAGGAAATGTCTTTAATTGGGAGAGGCAACCCAAACTCAGAGCCAACGTAGGCAGTGCGGATCTTTGGCAGTTTTTGAGCTTAAAAAAAAAAGTCTCCGTAGCCCTGGCCGGTTTGGCTCAGCAGTTGGAGCATTGGCCCACGGACCAGAGAGCCCCAGGTTTGGTTCCCGCTAAGGGCATGTACTTCAATTGCAGTTTGTCCCCGGCACGGTTGGGGTTGTGTGGGTGGCAGCTAGTCAATATGTCTCTCTCACATCGATGTTTCTCTCTCTCCTCCTCCTCCCTCTCTCCCTCCCACTTTAACTGAAGATAAATGCAAAAAAAAAAAAAAGTCCTTGTATAAGGATAAGAAAAAAAAAGTCTCCCTGTGTTACTGGAAAGCCTTATAGCCAGAAGCCACAGCAGGTCAGTAGCTCTTCCTCTCCTCCATCTCCCACATTTTAGCCTATCTGCTGGGAAAAGGTCCTTGTGGTTTTCTTTAGGAGATGAGAGGTTGAATTGAGTTTCTATCTTCTTACAAACTGCCCCGGCTACACAGTTTATCTTCCATCGGTCTTTCTGGCAGTGGTGAGGTGCTGGGCTTCTGGTTGTACCTTTATTCGGCTCTTCAAAATCATCCGGAGCCCTGGCTGGTTTGGCTCAGCGGTTAGAGCGTCGGCCTCCGGTCCAGAGAGACCGGGGTTCGGTTCCTGCTAAGAGTACGTACCTCAGTTGCAGTTTGTCCCTGGCCCTGGTTGGGTCGTGCAGGTTGCAGCCACTCGATGTGTCCCTTTCACATCAATGTTTCTGTCTCTCTCTCTCTCTCCCTCCCACTCTATATATATATAAAAAAAAAATTATCCGGAATTCCAGGACCTCGCGCCTCTGGAAGGACCCTGCAGGGTTCTCACAGGCGTCGGAGGACAAGCCCCCATCTTGAACCACTCCAGAAACACAGGAGGGGTGTTGGCGAGTGCTTGTTCTAGAACAACCATGAATTTCTAAAGTTCTGAGGACTCAGAAGGCAAACATCCCTTCTAGAACAGACCTAGTTAACACTAGAGGGGGCAGTTCCTGATTCCCAGCCAAGGAAGGGGGGCAGCCATCTAAAAGTAACCTGGATGCCCTGGCCGGTTTGGCTCAGCGGTTAGAGCGTTGGCCTGCGGTCCTGAGAGACCCGGGTTCGGTTCCCGCTAAGGGCACGTACCTCGGTTGCAGTTTGTCCCCGGCCCTGGTCGGTTGTGCGGGTGGCAGCCACTCGATGTGTCCCTTTCGCATCGATGTTTCTCTCTCTCTCTCTCTTCCTCTCTCTCCCCCCCACTCTATCTGAACAAAAAATGGAAAAATGTCCTCGGGTGAGGAAAAAATAAATAAATAAATAAAAAGTCCCCTGGATATGGGCTGGGAACTACAGGTGGGCGCTGTGCCTTGTAGAACTGTCATGAGCTCCCCTAGAGGGTTCTAGAGTGTTCAGGCAATTTCTGGAAGCTTCTCTTTCTCTGAAAGCCTAGCCAACTAGAATCGCTCTAGAAATGGGTGCCCAGGTGCTGCGGGGCCACCACAGAACTTCTCCAGAAGCTGCTAGGCCTCTGGAGACGCGTGCTTCTGGCCCGAGATCCCTCGAGCTGTTCCAGGAAGACTCCTCGGCAAGTTCTGGAGCCGAGACAGGTCTGCGTCAATGCCCACCCACTCGGGCAGGAAGGCGGCCTGGGGCTTGAAGATCTCGAGGAAGCTGGAGGTAGGCAGGGGGAAGTTGGCCAGGTAGACAGCGTCTCCACCAGCCAGGTAGGCGGCCCAGAAGCCGAAGGTGCCAATGGTCACGATGGTGTGGTTACACTGTGTGAGCAATGCGAAGTCCTTCCCCGGTGAGGCCTCCATGCCATTGCTGGTGACCACAAAGATGGGGGCCTGGTGCCGGGCCCGGAACCAGTCCATGGCCTGCTGGAGGTAGGCGCGATGGCCCACCACACCCTTCCAGCGTCGGGGCATGACCTCCAGATAGTCGCCATGGCGCACATGGACGCCCAGGGGTGCTCGGGAGACCCCCAGTGCCCCGCAGCCGGAGCTGTCTCAGGAAACCTTGGGCCTTTTCCCGAAGGTGGTCGTGCAAGGTGGACTCGCTGCGGAGCTGTTCCCGGAGGTGGTGGAAGAAGGTCCAGGAGCAAGGGAAGCCAGTGAGCTTCAGCGAAGGATCCTTCACGTGGGCGTACTCCTCCGACATCCAGTCATGCAGCTGCAAGTTCCGCCAAGGCGTGTGGCTGTCCACCTCTGGCACCGGCGCTGGCAGGCTGATGCGGAACACGGGGGCCAGGGCAGCATGCACGGCGGGCACTGAGCTGGGCCCGGGCCGGCAGAGTGGCATACCGCCCCATCCGATTACCAAAGCGGCCAGCTGGGGAGATAGTCCAGGTTCCTGAGAGGGAGGTGGGGTGCTTGAGACAGGAAGAGGAGGTGTTGAGAGTCATCGGAGTGCCTGACAGGCAGCAGGTGGCCACAGGGGCTGCCACCGAGTGTCGCTCTGCAAACAGGAAAGACACGAGTGTCGCTCTGCAAACAGGAAAGACACGTCCAGGCCGTTGTGGAAGACGCCTTGGGAGACGTGGAGGAAGGAGATTCCCACGAGAGCACAGACCAGCAGGAAAGTCAGACAGAGATGATGCCGGCTGAGGGTCCATGTGGCTGCAGGGGAGGACAGGTGAATTAGCAGAAGCTCAGAGCCTGAGGGAGCGTCAGGGAGGAGAGGCCGACGGAGTGAGGGGGCTGAGTGAGGACTCGGGTGTGAGGGAAGAAAAACTGGAGGTTTGGAATTTGGGGGGATGGGGATGCTAGATGGTGAAAATCGGTGGATTCCAAGATCGCAATCGTCCAGGATCCGACACCTTGTCCCCCCACCTTGCAATCTCTCTTCCCCACCTGCAAGGCCCCCAGAAGTTGGACGGGGTTCCACCAACTCCTTTCTCGGGCGTACCTGTGCGTGAGGGGCGGAGGTGACGGGAAGCGACAGGCCACATAGAATGTGCCCGGGACTAAGGGATCTTAATACCCAGAGGAGCAGGAGCTGAGGGTTGGGGGTGGCGGAGACTCCTCCGGTCATAGGGGGTTGGAGGTTGAGATTGTGACTCCTGAGTTTGGGGTACCCTCACTTTCCACTAACCTGAGCTCCTGGCAGGTGGCAGATACACTGCGGGCATGGCGTGGCCCGAGCGCGCCGTCCCCAAGAGCAGGCTACGCGCAGCCACCTGGGAACCGCAGCCTCCGGATTCCCAGGCCCCACCGCCTTTCCCGCCACCCTCCTCCCCTAAGTGGCTGCAGAGGCTCTGGGAGGAATGAGCGTGGGCGCCGCGTGCTAGTTCCGAACCCCTGCCTCGCCTTAGCCAGGTAGGTAGCTGCGAGGGGGATCCCCACCCTTCCCCGAGCTCCTCCGCCCTTCCCTCAGGGGACCAGCCATCCCCGCCCCGTCCTCCCCAGCACTGGCCTGCAAGAGGGCTCCATCCCGGGCAGCCTACCTGGCCACCCAGGAGCCGCGTCTTTGGTGGACTTGCAGATCTAGCGCCCAGATGCAACGCTGGACCCAGACGATCCGACCCGTCAACTTCTCCCTCTTCCCCTCGGGTGCCTGGGCTTACCATCTGTCCCGAGTGTCGCCCAGCCCCACCTCACCCCAGCCCTTGGGGTGGGGCCCCACACCGGTCCAGCAAGGACAGGAAGTCTCCTCCCCAGACCTCATGCCCCTGGTGGGGATGGAGAACATGTTTGCCAGGCTGCTCCAGGAGCCAATGGGAAGCCGGCTCTCAGGGCCCCCCGCAGGTGTCCCCGCACCCGCCAGGGACCGCTGATCCCCCCATCGCTGCAGAGAGCCTTGGCCCCCAGCCTCTCCCCTGGGAAGATGCTAGGGCCTGGCGCCTCACTAGACGGGCACATCCCAGAGGAGCCCCCCTGAAGACTGAGGACTGGACCGGAAACCCAGCGTGGGGAAGTTCCTACAGAGCCCAGGGCCCAGGGCGGGAATAAAGGCCTCGGCTCTCGGCACCTCAACAGGAGTTGCCATTGCTGAAGGCGCCCCCCATCCCCCCGCCCCCCTCCCGCAGCCCTGGCAGTTCGAACCAAGAGCTCGGGAATTTGACTCCACTCTCCAAACAGTTGACTATAATCCCTCCGGACCCAGGACCCGGACTAGCCGTCCTCAGACTGAGAAAGTCCACGCCTTCAGCACCTTCCTCCTTCTGAACGGGGTGTGCAATCTCTTCACCCTTAGGTTCCAAGAAATTGCTCATCGCTTATTCCTTTGGGGCTCTTTTATTATTATTATTATTATTCCTCACCCGAGGATGTTTTTTTCTATTTATCTTCTGATAGAGTGTGAGGGAGGGGGAGAGAGAGAGAGGGAGAGAAACATCGATGTGAGAGTGACACATCCACTGGCTGTCCCCTGCATGACCCCTACCAGGGAAGGGGACAAACCACAACCGAGGTACGTGCCCTTGACGGGAATTGAACCCACAACCCATTGATCTGAGGGCTGACGCTCTAACCCCTGAGCCAAACCGGCCAGGGCTGAAGTTCTTGGGTCTATCTTCTTTCTCCAGAGCCTGGCTCACCTGCCAACTCTGGGTTAGAGACTCCCCCCCCCACACACACACACACACCAAGGCTGTTGTGGGAGCACCTTGTCTGGACCTGCGGTAGCTTCTCTCCTGAAAGAAAACCAGGATTGAGTCCGGGAGGAGGAGGAGGCCTGGGTGTCTGGTCCTTCATCTTCTGGGCAGCAGCTGGTGGAGCTGAGGTTGGAGGCTGGCTCCCAGCCAGGTAAGAAGCTGCCGCACCAGGACAACAGGGTTGGGGAGGACATTTTGGTCAGGTGGCACATGCTGATGTCCTGATGACTGAGGAACCTTTGTCTGACTCCCAGAAACCTAGGTGTTCAGGTGGGATGCAGAGACTCTAGTTCTGGGACACAATCCACAGCAGTCATTGAGGGGGAGAGGCAGTCTGCAGGCCCCCAGCCCCTCCTCCCTCAGACCCAGGGGTCCAGTCCCAGCCCCTCCTCCCTCAGACCCAGGAGTCCAGGCCCCCAGCCCCTCCTCCCTCAGACCCAGGGTCCAGGCCCCCAGCCTCTCCTCCCTCAGACCCAGGAGTCCAGGCCCCCAGCCCCTCCTCCCTCAGACCCAGGGTCCAGGCCCCCAGCCTCTCCTCCCTCAGACCCAGGAGTCCAGGCCCCCAGCCCCTCCTCCCTCAGACCCAGGAGTCCAGGCCCCCAGCCCCTCCTCCCTCAGACCCAGGAGTCCAGGCCCCCAGCCCCTCCTCCCTCAGACCCAGGGTCCAGGCCCCCAGCCTCTCCTCCCTCAGACCCAGGAGTCCAGGCCCCCAGCCCCTCCTCGCTCAGACCCAGGAGTCCAGGCCCCCAGCCCCTCCTCCCTCAGACCCAGGGTCCAGGCCCCCAGCCTCTCCTCCCTCAGACCCAGGAGTCCAGGCCCCCAGCCCCTCCTCGCTCAGACCCAGGGTCCAGGCCCCCAGCCCCTCCTCCCTCAGACCCAGGGTCCAGGCCCCCAGCCCTCCTCCCTCAGACCCAGGGTCCAGGCCCCCAGCCCCTCCTCCCTCAGACCCAGGGGTCCAGGTCCCCAGCCCTCCTCCCTCAGACCCAGGAGTCCAGACCCCAGCCCCTCCTCCCTCAGACCCAGGGGTCCAGACCCCAGCCCCTCCTCCCTCAGACCCAGGGGTCCAGGTCCCCAGCCCTCCTCCCTCAGACCCAGGAGTCCAGACCCCAGCCCCTCCTCCCTCAGACCCAGGGGTCCAGGTCCCCAGCCCTCCTCCCTCAGACCCAGGAGTCCAGACCCCAGCCCCTCCTCCCTCAGACCAGGAGTCCAGTCCCAGCCCCTCTTCCCTCAAACCCGGGGGACCGGTCCCAGCCCCTCCTCCCTCAGACCCAGGAGTCCAGACCCCAGCCCCTCCTCCCTCAGACCCAGGGGTCCAGACCCCAGCCCCTCCTCCCTCAGACCCAGGGGTCCAGGCCCCCAGCCCCTCCTCCCTCAGACCAGGAGTCCAGTCCCAGCCCCTCTTCCCTCAAACCCGGGGGACCGGTCCCAGCCCCTCCTCCCTCAGACCCAGGAGTCCGGGCTCCCAGCTGGCAGGACCCCCTGATTGCAATTGCATCACCTGTTCGGGCTGACCTGGCCACGGTGGAATCCGTGCTCCTGCCAAGTGGGTCAAATATCACAGGTCAGGTGTAGGGAAGGTGATTGGGCGGGTCTGTTTGGATATAAATCCTGGAGCTTCTGCATTTATCCCAAGAGACTTGCTTGTCTCCATCCGGACATCCACGTGCAGAGGACCTGAGCATTCGGACGACCTGAGCAGCAACCCAGGAAGCTGCTCTCCCAGGATCCGCAACAGAATCCAGACCCTTCAGCAACTCAGACTGCGGGCTCCTGACCTCGCCTGAGGACGTGAGCTATTGATGGGCTGCTACAGGGCTTGGTTCCACTACCCAGCACTGTGGGTCCCCGTGCTGGCGGGCCTGCTGGGAGCCTGCCAGGCATACCCCGTCCCAGACTCCAGCCCCCTCCTCCAATTTGGGGACCAAGTGCGCCAGCGGTACCTCTACACGGACGATGCACAGAAAACAGAGGCCCACCTGGAGATCAGGGAAGATGGCACGGTGGTCGGGTCTCCCCACCAGAGTCCTGAAGGTGAGTGTGGGGCAGGGTCTGCACCTGAGGGGGAGGAGGCCGGGAAAAGGGCCTGAGTCTCTGATCACTTCCTTCCCTCAGGTCTCTTGGAGATGAAGGCCCTTAAGCCGGGCGTAATTCAAATCTTGGGAGTCAAGTCATCCAGGTTCCTGTGCCAGCGGCCAGACGGGACACTGTACGGATCGGTGAGTTTCCAGCATCCCCTCCTGCGCCTCTGCCCTTCCTCCTGTCATCTCACCATTTGGGGCACCAGCTCTGGCACCCGTGGCCGGGCGAGGCTTGGTTCTCTGCTCCCTGCGTGGCCCGACCTCGCCGAAACCCATAACGATGGGGCTGTTGTTAGCAATGTTTGCAAAAGGGGAAACTGAGGCTCAGGAAGTGACACCACCGGCCCCAAGTCACCAGGCTTATGAATGGCAGAGGGGCCTGAGAGACTGAGTCTTGTCTCTCGACCTGTGCTGACCTCACAGGCTTCTACGTGTCTGGCTCATGCTGGGCACGGGTCACTCAGGGAGCCCATGACCTGTGCGGTGACCATGACCTTAGGTGGTAGCGAGAGTCCCCTGCTTGGTCTTGGAAAGCCTTGACTGTTTCCTGGGCTGGGGACAGGAGGTGGGCCTCGCAGGACTGCCCAGGGGGTCCTAGAGGTCGGGGTGGGAGGCCTGGACCCCTGAGTTCTGCAGCAGGGGTGTGGCAGGGTCTCTGATCTCTGTATTGTCCCCTCAGCTCTACTTCGACCCCGAGGCCTGCAGCTTTCGGGAACGGCTTCTCGAGGACGGGTACAACATTTACCAGTCTGAGGCCAGAGGCCTCCCGCTCCGCCTGCCCCCCCACAGCTCGCCATCCTGGGGCCTGCGCTACGGGGGACCTGCCCGCTTCCTGCCGCTGCCAGGCCTGCCCCCAGCACCCCCAGAGCCGCCAGGGGTCCTGTCCCCTGGACCTCCTGACGTGGACTCCCCAGACCCCCTGAACATGGTGTTGCAATCACGGGGCGAAAGCCCCAGCTACATTTCCTGAAGCCACAGGCTGTTCATTCTTAGGTCTCCTCTTTATTTATTGGATTATTTATCTTATTTATATTTTTATGTTTCTTACTTGGAGTAATAAAGAGTCTGAAAGCAGCATCAGAGCTGGCGTGTATGAGTGTTTTTGAAAAAGGAAATGGTATCTGTTTATCCCTCTCCTGTTGATTCCCAAAGCCCCCTGTCTCCCTTGCTAGAAAGGTGTGAGAAAGTCCCTGGGCCTGTTTTCCGTGCCCATGAAGTGTCCCCGGGAACTCTGAACTGTCCCTGCCCTTTGACAGGACAGAACTTGCTCCCACCCACTCTACCCCAACCCCTGTTAGTGTTGTGGAACTATTTCTCAAAGGTACCGCAATAACAAAGGATTATTTTTCACGACACTGCAGGCCCACAGCCTCATGGGAGATGTAGTTTTCTGGGTTCATTTAGCACTAGAAAAAGGAAGACATCTTGGTCCTCAGCGCTAAGACAAGGACTCTGGGATCATGGGGATGTTAGTGGTACTAGGATGGCACTCTTGGGTCCTGAGGGATCAGAGGGCTGGACATGTGAGTCCCGGGAGAACAGGAACCTGGACGTCCTAGTCTGAAGGATGAAGGGCTGGGGACCCAGACATTTGGTCTGAAGGTGGGGGCACTGGAGATTGGGAGTCCTGGGTCTCAGGACGAAAATTAAAGATCTGAACACTTCTCTCCAGGTGCTCATGGACGTTGGGATGGTATAACCGTCAAGGACATACTTTCACAAGAGGGGAGCTTTGTCTGAACCCTAAAAAGAAGTGATCATTATGTAATTGGGTAGAGGTACAATGATTGCTACCATGGCAATCATATTACAATATGTAAATATATCAAATTAACCCGGCATACACCTTAACTTTATGCAATGTTATATGTCAAATATATTTTAATAATAGACTTTGGTTTTTCTAAGTATGGAGTTTTGTCCTTACAAAACAGAGACTCTATTGCCCGGGCTGGAATGGCTCAGTTGGTTGGGCGTTGTCCTATGCACCAAAAGGTTGCTGGTTTGATTCCAGATCAGGGATTCAGTCCCTGGCAGGGGGTGTGCAGGAGGCAGCTGATCACTGTTTCTCTCCCTCTCCTGTCCTCTCTCTCTCAAAGGCAATCTTTAAAAAAGAGAAAGAGATTATACTGAGCAATTCTGAGATCTCTGAGGACGCAGACCATCTTCCCACGGCCTCCGACATGCACCTACTAATTGGAACCTGTGAAGTCACACACACACACACACACACACACACACACACACATCACATGACTGCTGCTGTTGTTCTCAGATGCTCTCACCAAGCCTTCAGCTGTGAGACAACCTCTCCTTTAGGGCTGAGGACTGGTGGGGAATTCCAGCCTCCACAGCGCTTCCTCCAGTTTCCCTTCCCCCTATACTGGTACTGGTTTGGCCCCATCCACTTATATTTGGAGGTTCATGGGGGGCCCCATGGTCAGCTGGCTTTATGGAAGATGTCCTTTGCAAATTTTCACTCTCCTGCTTGTTCTACATGGGTTTTTCAGGGGTGGGATTTAGGAAGATTAAGAAACTATGCAGCCCTGGCCGGTTTGGCTCAGCGGTTAGAGCGTCGGCCTGCGGTCCAGAAAGACCCGGGTTCGGTTCCCGCTAAGGGCATGTACCTCGGTTACAGTTTGTCCCCGGCCCTGGTTGGTCGTGCAGGTGGCAACCACTCGTTGTGTGCCTTTCACATTGATGTTTCTCTCTCTCTCTGTTCCTCTCTCTCCCTCCCACTCTATCTGAACAAAAAATGGAAAAATGTCCTTGGGTGAGAATGATAAAAGAAAGAAAAAAAAAGAAAAGAAACTATGCTTCCAAACCTGAATCTAATAGCGAGCAAATGTCCAAAAAATTCTAATCGAGGGACTTGCTGCCAAACGACTGGCCTTGACTCTTGGAAAATGTCAAGGTCAACAAAGAAAAAGACAGAGGGACTGTTCCCATGAGCAGAGACCAGAGAGCGAGCCCTATGAAATGCAGTTCGTGGAGGGACCCTTTCCCACCCTGGACCTTCATAAGACACTCAATGACGTTTGAGTGAGTTCTGTACATTAGATCATGGTAATCTATCCATGTGAAATCTTCTGATTTTGATCACCGTATTGTGATTATAAAAAAGAATGTCCTTGCCCCAGCTGGTGTGGCTTAGTGGTTAGGGCATTGGCCCATGCACTGGAGGGTCACAGGTTTGATTCTGAGTCAAGGACATGAACCTGGGTTGCAGATTTGAACCCCAGGCTTGGTCAGAGTCATGCAGGAGGCAACCGATCGATGTGTCTCTCTCACATCGATGTTTCTCTATCTCTTTCCCTCCCTCCCTCCTTTCCACTCTATCTGAAAATCAATGCAAAACATCCTCGGGTGAAGATTAAAACAAAAAACAAAAAACGTAAGAAGAATGACCTTGTCCTTAGCAAATACCCACTGAAGTATTTAAGGACAAAGGGACATGGTATCGCCAATGTTTTCTCAAATGTTTCTGGAAATGTAAATACCTAATATATAAAGATAAAGAGTGAGCAATTGAGCAAATGTGGGGGCAGGAACAGCAAGAATTGGGGAACCTGGGTAAAGAATATACGGGGTTCTCTGTACAAGGTTTGAAACTTTCCTGCAAGTTCAAAACCAAATCAAGTTTGAGTTACTCCTGCCATCAAAAATTTTTAAAAAAATCCAGCCTGCTGGTGTGGCCCAGTAGTTGAGCATTGTCCCATACTCCAAGAGGTCTCCAGTTCAATTCCTGGTCAGGGCACATGCCCAGGTTGTGGGCCAAATCCCCAGTGGGGGGCATGCAGGGGGCAGCCAGTTGATGATGTTCTCTCTCATTGATGTTTCTCTCTCTCCTTCTCCCTTCCTCTCTTTCTCTAAAATCAATAAAGAAAAAATTTATTTTTAAGGTTCGGGGATGGATGGCCATTGCACAACAATGTGAATGTCCTTAATGCTACTGAGCTGTCCACTTAAAAATGGTGGAAATGGTACATGTTATGTGTATCTCATCACAATAAAAATAAATCCACCAAACTGCACTAAGAAAACTCTAGGGGGGTGTCCTGTTTCTGTTTGGGCTGTGGATGAGGGTGGAAATGATTCTCTATTGAGAACTGGGTAACCACCCGATGGACCAGTCTCACGTGGAATGGGGATGAAGTCACGTGGGTGGCGGAGGCTTGTCCACGCTGGGGCTCTGCTGGCATCGAGGTTGGACTAGTGCTAGACCCAGGGCTTCCGGCCAAAGCAAAGGTCTCTCTGGAGAGATGCCACTCAACCCAGATATCACAGAGGAAGTCTTGAATGAGTTCATAATCCAAAGTCACAAAATTTATGAGGGAACTGGGCACGTGGCATATGCCAGCAGAAACACTGAACCAGACGAGCCCCGCCTCCCAATAACTGTGGTGTAGACTGTCAGAGGGAAATGACCATTCAAGATCTTCTTTTTTTATTTTTTATCCTCACCCGAGGACATTTTTCCATTTTTTGTTCAGATAGAGTGGGAGGGAGAGAGAGATAGAAACATTGACATGAAAGGGACACGTCGAGTGGCTGCCACCCGCATGACCAACCAGGGCCGGGGACAAACTGCAACCGAGGTATGTGCCCTCAGCGGGAACCGAACCCGGGTCTCTCCGGACCGCAGGCCGACGCTCTAACCACTGAGCCAAACCGGCCAGGGCAAGATCTTCTTTTTAAAATTATGATCAAATACACACAACATAAAATGTACCATTTTAGTCCTGGTCGATGTGGCTCAGTTGGTTGGAGCATCACCCAGTGCACCAAAAGGTCTCAGGTTCAATTCCCGGTCAGGGCACATACTCAGGTTTTGGGTTCGATCCTCGGTTGAGGTGTATACTGGAGGCAACTGATCAGTGTTTCTCTCTCTCCCTTCCCCTCTCTTTAAAATCAATAAAAACACATTCTTGGGTGAGGATTTTTTTTTTTAAGTACCATGGTAACCATGTTTAAGTGTATAGCTCGTAGTATTGAGTATATTCACATTGTTGTGCAACCAATGCCCAGAACATTTCATCTTGCAAAACTGAACCTCTGTACCCATCAAACAATAACTCCCCATTCTCCTCTCCCCCAGCCCCTGGCCACCACAATCTACTTCTTGCTTCCATGAGTTTTACTACTTTAGATACCTCATATAAGTGGACCACATATACATATGTGGACATTCTAACAGTGTTCCATTTCTCCACATCCTCACCAACACTGGTTATTTGTTTTGTTTTTGTTCTTGATTATAGCCATCCTGACGGGTGTGAGGTGACATCTCATGGTGGGTTTCATTTGCATTTCCCTGATGATTCATGATACTGAGCATCCTTTCCTGCATATGTCTTACATATGTATATGTATATGTATATGTATATGTATATGTATATGTATATGTATATGTATATGTATATGTATATGTATACGTATCTGCTTTGGAGAAATGCCTACTCAAGTCCTTTACCTGTTTTTTTAAATCAGGTTGTTTGATTTTTGTTCTGGTTGAGTTGTAAAAGTTCTTTATGTATTCTGGCCATTAACCCAGTGTCTGAAATACGATTTGCAATTACTTTCTCCCACTCCATGGGTTGGCTGTTATCATGCCCTTTGATTTCCCATTTCGCTGTAGCCTAACTGATCTATTTTCCCTTTTGCTGCCCATGCTTTTGACATCATATCCATTAAATCATTGCCAAGTCCAGCGGCGTGAAGTTTTTTCCCTAACAGAAGCTTTATTCTAAGAGCTTTATTGTTTTAGGTCTTACATTTAGGTCTCTGGTTGAATTTGAGTTCCTTTCCCCATAACATGTAAAGTAAGGGTCCCCTTCATCCTTTTGCACGTGGGTATCCAGTTTCCCCAGCACCATGTGCTGAAAGATCATGTGAAATCTCTTTCCGTCAGAAGAGCTTTTGTGTACGGAAACAACTATTCACAGCTATTTGTTCTTTTGATAATGATTAATTAATTTTTAAGCTGTCAGTTTTTCTCTAAACATTCACTGACTTCTTCTACAGCTAAAAATAGCAGGCCATGAATTTCACAATTTTAGATTTCCCCAAACATTGAACATTGGCTGCAAATTGAATCAATGAACTTCTAACAAAGTCTGGTATCTCAGATTCATTTAAATATGCCTCGTGAAGGGATTAAGAAGCACAATTGCCAGTCATAAAAACAGTCACGGGTACATAGAGTACAACATAGAATATATAATCACTAATATTGTAATAACTATGTATGGTGTCATGTGGGTACTATACTTATCAGGGTGATCACCTCATACGTTATATAAATGTCTAATCACTATGTCATATACGTAAAACTAATATAATATTGTATGTCAACTGTAATTGAAAAAAAATACCAGTATCTGGGGGGGAAAAATGCCATGAGTAGAAAAAAAACAGTAATACAATCTTGATCATATTTTTCACAAGTGTAATATAACAAAGTCTCACAAATGATTTAAATATCATCAAGAGCCCTGGCCGGTTTGGCTCAGTGGTTGGAGCGTTGGCCTGCGGACCAGAGAGTCCCGGGTTCAGTTCCCGCTAAGGGCACGTACCAAAAATAAATAAATAAATAAATAAATAAATAAATAAATAAATAAATATCACCAAGAGAGCCCAGCCGGTGTGGCTCAGTGGTTGAGCATTGACCCATGCACCAAGAGGTCGCCAGTTCAATTCTCAGTCAGGGCACATGCCCAGGTTGTGGGCCAAACACCCAGTGAGGGGCATCAGGAGGCGGTCAATTGATGTTTCTATCTCTCTCTCCCTTCCTCTCTCTCTAAAATAAATAAAGAAAAAAATTGTTCAAATATAATCAAGAAAGACAAATAGGGGTACAGTGATTATCCCATTGATCAGTTTCCTTTCATTAAACCAGTTACAGAAGTGTTGGTGTGATGGGTATATATGTTTCTTCAATACCTCTAATCTGATCAAGATTTTGACTCATAGTCCTGATACTTCCTCTTTTTTAAACATTTATTTATTTAGCCCTGGCCGGTTTGGCTCAGCGGTTAGAGCGTCGGCCTGAGGTCTGGAGAGACCCGGGTTCCTTCCCGCTAAGGGCATTTACCTCAGTTGCAGTTTGTCCCCGGCCCTGGTTGGGTCCTGCAGGTGGCGGCCACTCTATGTGTCCCTTTCACATCAATGTTTCTCTCTCTCTCTCTTCCTCTCTTTCCCTCCCACTCTATCTGAACAAAAAAATGGAGAAATGTCCTTGGGTGAGGATAAAAAAAAAATTATTTATTTAGAGAGAGATGAAGGGAAACGAAGAGACAGAAATATCAATGAGAGAGAAACATCCATCGGCTGCCTCCCACACACCCCCTACTGGGATGGAGCCCACAACCCAGGCATGTGCCCTGATGGGGAACCTTTTGGTGCATAAGAGGACGCTCAGCCACTCAGCCACATCACCAGAGCCTGATCCTCCCTCTTACCTGTGATTTTTCTTACCTAGATAAGACTTTTCTTAGAAACTCAGCTTTATTCACCCACCAGGTGAGGTGAGGTGAGTTTGGCAGTTTGATGGTTGGAGATTTGGCCCCAGGGTCCCCTCCAAGTCAAGTCTTATCAAGCCTGATTCCAGGACTAGACCTGATTTTGTTTTTTTTTTTTTTCCAGTTAGACGTTCTCATGATCACATGACTTAGGAAGTTGATTCTGATGATACTGAGTTATCTCCCACGTCAGTGTGCTCGGTGCCATATCTTTATAGCACAGCCTAGAAAACGTGTTCTAGGAGTCATGCACTTTTTTATTGCATTTATTGGGGTGCCATTGGTTAATCAAATTATATAGGTTTCAGGTGTATAATTCTATAATACATAATCTGTTAAGAGGCATAGCTTTTTGTTGTTGTTAATCCTCACCAGAAGATATTTCTTCTTTTTTTTTTCTTTTTTCTTTTTCTTTTTGAGAAAACACCTCCAAATTATCTTTTATTTATACAAAAAGGGCAAGTTTAGCAAAAGACACACTGAGAAAAGAGAGGTCATGGCCCAGGAGACAAGGCAGGGGGGTGGCAGCCCTTCTGATGCCCTGCTGGGGGGAGAAGGGTCTGGAGCAAAGTGGTGAGAAGTCCCGGGTAATCGCTGAGTGGCAGGAGCCACAGAAAGCAAGCTCCAGTTGGATCAACACCGATGGCAGCTCGTGAGTGGGACTCACAGTGACCTCGCTGCTAAGTGTTCAGGGATCTCGAGTTAGTGCTGCTGACTAGAGTGAGAGCCACCCCTGGTTCCTGGGGGGCACCCACCAAGGGACACAGGACAGGAAGTGCAACTCAGGGTGACAGCCAGGGAGAGGCAGGTGCCCTGCAGGGGCCAGAAAAGGTCCAGACTCTGGGGCGGAGGTTCTTTCTGTTCCGTGCGGGCGCTCTGCCCTGTCTCTGCCGGGCGCTCTCTGACGAGGGCCCGGCCCGGATGGTGCCTCTCTTCAGGCGCTCCATGGCGCTGTTGCCGCCAGCATAGGTGGGCCGGATCTCTGTGCCCATCTCCTCTGTGGCCCACAGCAAGTCCGTGTAGGTGCTCTGGGAGCCCTGGGCCCCGGTGGCTTCACTGCCTGCACATAGCCCGTGGAGGGCGGTCCAAAGTCGTTCAACAGTGGTCTGAAAGGGGCAGCGGCTCCCGGCACTGAGCATGACTGCGATGGGACACTTCTGGCTGTAGGGACTGGGGTGCTGGGCCCAGGGCTGCTGGAGCCCGAGGTGCTGCTGGGGGCGGGGGTGATGGGTTTGTAGGACATCCCCAACTCCTGGGTGCCAGGGCCGTCCACTGGCCGCTCCCCCGGGGTTGGCTGCCTGGCCACTCAGCTGCGCTCTGATTCAAGGATATTTTTTCCATTGATTTTTTTTTTTAAGAGAAAGTGGAAGGGAAGGAGGAGGGAGGGAAAGGGAGAGAGAAACATCGATGTGTGCAATATGGATCCCGGGGTCAGGATAGAACCTGCAACCCAGTTACATGCCCTTGACCAGGAATTGAACCTGTGACCCTCTAACCATTGAACCACACTGGCCAAGGCTGAAGCTGCTACTTTTGATGCCCACACACATGCAGGCAACGGACGTTTATAAGACTCCGTGGATTATAAGGTGCATCCTGACTCAGAGATGTTAAAATTTGTCTCTTAGCCTTGACTATCGTGGCTCAGTTTGTTGAAGCATCCACGGGTAAATGGAAAGGTTGTGGGTTTTATTCACCCATTGACATTGCTCTCTCACATGGATGTTTATCTCTCTCTCTTCCCCTTCCCCTTTCTCTAAAAATCAAGGATTTAATAAGAGAGAGAGAGCTTGGCTGGTGTGGCTCAGAGGTTGAGCATCAACTCATGCCCTAAGAGGTTGCTGGTTCGATTCCTGGTCAGGGCACATGCCCAGGTTGGGGGCCAAATCCCCACTGGGGGGCGTGCAGGAGGCAGCCAATTAATGTTTCTATCTCTCTCTCCCTCTCCCTTCCTCTCTATCTAAAACCAATAAAGAAAAAAAACTTTTTTTTTAAGAGAGAGAAAACAGGCTCAGAGAGGTGAACTCACTTCCCCAAGGTCATAGTTATAAGGGAATTTTTTTAGAGTTGATTTCTAACTCGGCAATGTAAGAGGATTCTCTGAAATGTGAATATGCATAACCCAAAATTATCTTCTTCACCCTAAGTGTGACCCAGAAACCACATGCACAGCGGGGCTGTCCTCAAGGTGGGTCCGCAGGGTTGATGCAGGCGAGTCGGGGAGAAGCTAAGTTCAGTTTGTGATGAAGCAGAAGAATCTCCCACATCAGAGAAACCGCCAGGATATTGGGAAGTTGGACCCATAATGAAACGGGCTGAAGACCAGGATCCCTGGTTAAGACCCTAGATTCCCTGATCGGTTGCATCACTGGACATGACAACTAATGTCTTGTATTTGGCATTTTATTTCAAAATTGCAGCAAGAACAACAACAAAAAATCAAAGGCAGCACTTGGGAGATCCGGCCTGAGAACGGAGAGTTGTGGAGTTGGGCCAAGGAGTGTACTTGACCCCTCAACACAGAGCAGTGGGGAATCCAAATTCCCCAGGCCTGAGAGGCGAGCTAGGGGCCCAGACGCCTGGGTCCGGCCCTGATGGCTTTGGGAGTGTAACGACCACGTGGGGGCGCCAGAAACCCAGGCGTCTGGCCACCCGGCCTTTTATTTCATATTGCACTTCAGGTTGAGTTCTTGGTAGGGAGGTGAGGATCCGACCGGGACTGGATGCTACGGGCCGGTGGATCCGAGGAGTGGCCAGGCCAGTCTGCAGCCTCACACCTGGAGCATCCACTCGTGGGCCTTCGTTCCATACTGCAGAGCGACAGGGGCAGAGGGGCAGGGGAAGTCACACTGCAACTCCCAGCAGGTCCTGGGGCGACCCAGGTTGGGAGTTGGCGGAGTTGCGCCCCAGGCCCTCACGGGAAATGTAGTCCACTTCCCGGAAGCCCGCCCGTGATCACCGGGTGGGGGGCTCATTGCAAAGGTGATGGGAGCTTCAGGGAGAGGTAGTAATGCAAGAGTTATTGTAAGGCCGGAGGGCTTGTGGGGAAAGTCAGCTGAGAAAGTAATTCTAGGTCCCGATGCACAGAAGATCACAGAAGCTCACGGGAAAGGTAGCTCTAGATCGAGGGCCAGGAATTGAGCCCAGAGACTAATGGAAATATTTCCAGAGGCTTACGAGAGGGACCGGTCCTGGGCCACATAGGGGGTCCAGGGGCTGGTAGGAGGGATTTCTCAGGTCAAAGGATACCGGGACTCTATGGAATACACGGGGAGTGGACTTCTGTGGGAAAGAGAGTTCTCCCAGTGGAAGGACATCAGGGGCTGCAGAGGTTCAGGGAAAGGGGTTTCTCGAGCTAGGGCTCAGAAGCTGGCGGGAAAGGGTCACTGAGCCCCAAGAGGTGTTCTAGGCCACAGAGCTCAAGGAAAGCCGGACTCAGTCAGGGGCCCAGCAGCCGATGGGAGGGTCCATTATCATCTGTGGGACTATCGGGCCGGGGATCGGCTCTCAGTCCACATGAGATGTGAACTTCTCTGGGGAAACATGCAACCAGCTCACCTCCCAGCGAGTGCATCTCACCTGGATTGCCTTCAGCTCCTTCTGGAAGCGGAGGATGAGCTCGGGCCCATTTTCCATGGTGGGAATGTGGAGGTTCTGGGAAAGAACAGCCATGAGGACCGGCCCGTCTCCCGTCCCCTCTCCTCTCCCCTCTCCAGCGGCAGCCCCGCCTCACCTTGCCTTGGTACAGGATCCGATGCACAGGGCAGACCTGGCAAGCGGTGCCGGAGCCAAAGACTTCTCGAACCCGGCCCTCCTCCAGGGCTCTCGTGACCTCCTTCATGGTGATCTTCCGCTCTGCCACCCGGAACTCACCCTGCGGGGCAGGGGACACACCTGTGAGCCCAGCCGCTGCCCTGCGGCAGAGACCTGCCTCTCCGCCCTGAGGACGGCGAGAAAGACGGAGACCCAGGGGGCAGGAGGGACAGACACCCAGAGAGGGAGAGACAGAGACAAGCCAGTGCACCCCAGCCCCCAACCCAGCAGAACCCCATTACCCCTTCCACCTGAAGACACCAGGCCCTCACCCAGGTCCGAGCCAGGTCCAGCAGACTCTGTCTGACTACTCCAGGCAGGATAATACCGTCCAGCGGGGGGGTCACCAGTTCCAGCACTGGGCCAGGTGTAACGGATGGGGTGTCACCGCACACCCTCACGCACACCCTCCCATCACCTCAGGAGCCACCCCACCCCAATCACTGAGACCCGCAATCTGGTAGGAATTATGATGCCACCCACTTCCACCAGGGCTCGGGGTGGTCCCGGGAGGGCTCACCCCCATCCTCGTGGGTCCAGTAGATGAAGATGTTCATGGTGCCCACTTCGGTAAGCTGGTGGTCGGGCCCATACAGCCAGAGGACCTGCTCACAGCCCTTCCTTTTCGCCTCCTGCTGCACAAACACTGTGGGCGCATAGTTCCTGGTGGAGGACAACGTGGTCGAGGAGAGAACGCCAACAGGGCCCAGGTTGGGTCTTTCTAAAGGCTGACCCTGCTCCTCCCCAACTCACAGCCCTCCCATGGCTCCCCGGTACCCCCACGGCGGACTTGCTAGACAGTAGCTTGGGGTGAAGGCTCTAAGTGGTCCATCCTCCCCTCCCCACTGTCTTTCCACTCTCCAGACCACAAGTGCACCCATTTCCTTTTCTGGGGTCCCTTCCTCATCCAACTACCCAAATGTCCTGCAAAACCCCCTGTGATATCATCTCCTCTTGGAGGCGCTGCCAAACCTCCAGGTTGGGTTCCAGGCCTTCTCTGGTCCCCCACTGACCTCCACCCAACATCACCCCCCCCCATACACACATCGCTCTCACCATCATGGTGCCAATGACATCACCTTCCAATCTGTGGGCATAGCTGGCCCCAAACATGTGACACAGGACAGGGAGGGTGATGGGTACCCAAACACACCCCCCGAAGCATGGGCACTGCCCCCTGAGTCTCTGAGCTTCAGTGGACCAGACATGTGGTGGAGGCGGGACTACTTACCCCCCCAGCTTGTAGTTTCCCACCCCCCCAATCCAGGCCCGGATGAATGCTGGGTCAGCCAGGAGGGAAACGGGGCTCATGGCATCTCCAGGGAAGTATGAGCCCACGGGGCAGAGGATGACGAACAGGAGGGCTCTCGTGGAACTGGAGACACCTAGCGAGGACTGCGATGGGCAGAAGGGGCATCAGGACCCCGGAGTCCAGGCCTGCACCCCCTCCCCGACCCAGGGGCCCAGGTCCCCAGCCCTTGCGGTTAGGATTCCCCGGGCCCCAGTGAGGTTCCCCAGCACCCAAAGTCGGCCTCACCTCGTTCCCCATGAGCACTGGCCGCACGTACAGGCTGGCTCCGGGGCTCTCGGGGACCCAGTCCTTGTCCACGTCCACCAGCCGGCGGATGCACTCCAGCAACTCGACCTTGTCGAAGCTCTGCGTGGGATTCGATGAGTCAGGGGGCCCTCGTGGCCCTCGCCGCACCCCGCGCCCTCCTCCACCAGGGTGGCCGGGCCCCTCACCGGCAGGCAGAGGCGCAGGGCCGAGCGCAGCATGCGGTCCATGTTGAGCCAGGGTCGGAAGAGGCGCACCTGCCGGTCGCCACCTTTGAATGCCTTCATGCCCTCGAAGAGCTGCGGGGACAGTCAGGAAGAGACAGTGAGACATACCAAGACAGACTGCTGCACAGACAAACAGACGCAGAAGCAAAGACCCAGAGCTGGGGAGAGAGGAACCCGCGGAGCACACAGAGGGGGGAGAGAGAGAGAGAGAGAGACCCAGAGACAAGACAGAGATAGATGCTTGAGAAAGCAGAACAGAGCGACCCAGAGACAGAGGTGCAGAGTGTCCATGTTACTGGTACGATTTCTCAGGACTGATGACGGTGTGGGAGTTAGGTTTTTGGAGTCCTCGTGTAGCCCTGGCCGGGTAGCTCAGTTGGTTAGAGCGTCGTCTGGATACACCAAGATTGCAGGTTCCATCCCCGGTCAGGGCACAGATAAGAATCAACCAGTGAAGGCATAAATGAGTGCAGCAACGAATCATTGTTTCTCTCTCTCTCTCAAATCAATCAATACTTTAAAACATTTTTTAAAAAGCAAGATGCCACTGCCCTGGCCGGTTTGGCTCAGCGGTTAGAGCATCGGCCTGCGGTCCAGAGAGACCCAGGTTCGGTTCCCGCTAAGGGCACGTACCTCAGTTACAGTTTGTCCCCGGCCCTGGTTGGGTCATGCGGGAGGCGGCCACTTGATGCGTCCCTTTCACGTCGATGTCTCTCTCTCTCTCTCTCTCTCTCTCTCTCTCTCTCTCTCTCTCTCTCTTCCTCTCTCCCTCCCACTCTGTCTGAACAAAAAATGGAGAAATGTCCTCAGGTGAGAATAAAAAAAAAAAGGCAAGATGCCAGTGAGTGTACAGTCTGCTGCTTGTGTGTGAAGAGAATGGAAGCAGTTACACCCATCAGTGTTGATATCCAGAAAGCAGGACTCTGGAAGGACATGGGGACTGGTAATGGGGACATTGAGGTGGCTGGGGAGCTGGGGAAGAATATCCCTCTTTTTTTTTCTCTTCTTTTTTTAAATTTTTTACTTTTAATTTTTTCCTTTATTGATTTAAGAGAGGACGGGAGAGGGAGAGAGTGATAGGAACATCGATGAGACAGAACATTGATTGGCCGCCTCCTGCATGCTCCTCACTGGGAATCAGGTCCACACCCTGGGCATGCGCCCTGACCAGGAATCAAACCAGTGACCTCTGGTTGCATGGGTCAATGCTCAACCACTGAGCTACACTGGCCGGACTCTTTTATTCTTTTTCTTTTTTTAAATTGATTTTATAGAGAGAGAAAGGGAGAGCAAGAGATAGAAACATCGATGAGAGAGAACATCGGTTGACGACCTCCTGCATGCAACCCCCCCCCCCACACTGGGGATCAGGCCCACAACCTGGGCATGTTCCCCGAATGGGAATTGAACTGGTGACCTCTTGGTGTGCAGGTTGACACTCAACCACTGAGCCACACCGGCCAGGTGTATATCCCTCTTTTACATTTAGAATTCTGAACTGTGTGAACATATAACCATTTGTTAAAAATCCATTTTAATTTTAAAAACTCCAAATAAAATTAAAATTGTTTCGCCCAGCTGATGTGGCTCAGTGGATTGAGCATCGTCCCATGGACTGAGAGGTCCCGGTTTGATTCCTGTCAGGGCACGTGCCCGGTTCACAGGCTCAATCCCCGGTACGGGGTGTGCAGGAGGCAGCCAATCGATGTTTCTCTCTTCCATAGATGTTTCTCTCTTTCCCTTCCTCTCTCTCTAAAACAAACTATTAAAAACAACATTTTAATTTTAAAAACAACACTTAATTTAAAATTAAAATTGTTTAAATAAAGGGGGATAAGGACAGAAAGCAGATGTTACATGCATTGTTCTGGGAGTGTATCATTATCACAATAATAAAAGAAATAACAATACAAGTGGTCTGTTATTCCACACATGTCCCAGATTGAAGATGACACAGGAATGTGATTTTCCCATGCCCTCAGCTGGCCTCAGTTCCTTCTGGCACCTTAAATGAGAGGGATCCAAATGCACATGTTTTGGCCCTGGCTGGTGTGGCTCAGTTGGCTGAGCATCATTGTCCCGTGCACCAAAAGGCTGCTGGTTTGATTCCCAGTCAGGGCACATGCCTGGGTTGCAGGCTTGATTTCCAGGAGGGGGCGTGCAGGAATCAACCGATGGATGTTTGGCTCTTGCATTGATGTTTCTCTCCCTCTCCCTTCCTCTCTCTCTAAAAATCAATAAAAATTTCTTAGAAAACAAACAAACAAAAAAAGCAAACGTTTTGAATGCCAGGGCCTCCAAACCCTTTTATCTGCATTGCAGCAGTGCTGGGTCCGCAGCTGGAGGACAGAGAGGTAAAACCACCTTCCTGTGGTCACAGTCCCGACTGTCCATCCTCAGTATCTAACTGCTACCGACAGTGTGTCTCCTCTGCACAGAACTGACTGGTTCTAGTCAAATGTCCAGAGAAGGTGGAGAGAAACCCTCAAAATTCTTAAAAGGAAAATGCCTAATGCCACAGAACCACACTCAAAGGAACAAAAACTACTCGGACTAAAACCAGATACTAGAGCTGCAATATGTTCACTCAGATCCTGTCGAAATGACAGTCTCCTTGGGAAGACTTTGCTTTCAACCATGGCTTTACATCCCAAACCAAATGCCACCTGGATCTCTCTCCTCACGGGCCCCTCACCAAATCCTGCAAAGCCAATCCGCCTCCTGAGTCCCCCTACGGACACAGTCCCATGAACTACCTGGTCGCCTGGCCAAACCTCTGGGCACCGTCCTCAGCCCTCCCTTCCGTTCTCTCGCCCAGTCTGCCAATCCCTCATGTCCCTGCATCTCTGTGCCCTGTCCCCTCCTGCCCATCCCCAGCTCCCAGCCCAGCCTGGCCTCCTGGCCACCAGTCTCCCCACCCCAGCTCATCGTCCACATGTCCTGAGAGGGCTCATGGAGCCAGAGCTGGCCCTGCTCCACTCCGCTCAGAGCCTCCATGGCGCCCAGCACCTTTGACAAGGTCCCTCAGCTCTTCTGTGGCCCTGACGACATCCTCGGCCTCCTCCTACACACTCCAATCCCACAATTACCCCAAATATGCTGGGCTCTTTGTACTGTGTCTCTGGACTGTCTGTCCCCTCTCCCTCTAATACCCTGAGTGCCCCTCTCTGCCCACACAGACCCCACTTTCTCTCAAGTCAGACGTAGAACTGGGTTCCACTTCTGGCCTCCCACAATGCCTCAGCTGCCTCCATCTGAACTCAGATCACACAGATTGTGACCAAAACGGGGGGTTTTCAAGTGAAGGAGCTGCATCTGCTTAACTTGGGGACCCCAGCATCACCCAGCAGAGGGCTTGGAACATGAGGAGCCTCAAACGCCAGGTGACGAGAACACGGACAGAAAAAAACACGTAAGAAGCAAACCCAGGGAGGTGGACCCAGCGCCAGACACAGCAGAGGGAAGAGATGCAGAGAGAGACGGTGACAGAGGTCGCCACACCACCTGCAGCGAGTAGTGGAGAGCGGAGCAGGCCGGGTGCAGCATGAGGTTCTGGAAGGGCTGGATTCGGGGGTGACTCCAGCCCTCCTTCTCCGACCATTCTATCATCAGCATGTGGTCAGTGAACGTCTTCCCAAACACCAGGGCCTCGTTGGGATCGGGCTTCTTATGAGGCTTCTGTGTCATTTCCAGCTGCAGGTCTGCAACCTGAGAAGAGAAAGGACCGGGGTATCCTGGAATCTGGCCACAACTGCCAAACTGAAAAAAAAAAAACTACAACTCCCATGACTCCCTAGGGCTGAGACTCGGAGAGAAGAGGGTTCTGTGGCTCCAGAGGCTTCTGGGACATGCAGTTTCCATTCTTTCCCACAGCCTGATGGCAGTCAATCAGGCTATCCCGTTGCTACCTACTTTGACCTTTGAACTATGGACCTTTTGTAGATTCCCAAATCCCACCCCTAGCCTCCTCCTTCCTCAGACCCAGCAGTCCAGGTGCCCAGCCCCTCTTCCTTGGGATCCAAAAGTATAGTCCTACTTTTACCTTGAAGCTGGATGAGGCATATCTTCTGGGACCACACAGAAGCCAAGGGACAGGGAGAAGTTTCCGGGCCCAAGTCTGGGGATGGGGACAGAAGAAAGGTGGTGAGGCCAAAAGAGAGAGAGCAGAAGGCCCTAGCAAGTGCTTGGCTGCCTCCTTCACTTGGGAGTTCCGTCTGGCCTATGGTCCCAGGCCCAGTGACTCTGACAGGGCGTGTGATCTGACGAGCCTTTCCCTCTGTCCCCATCAGCACGCAGCAGGAGAGGATCCTGCAGGAGGCCAAGTCCCTCCCTGCTCCTACAGAACCATCCCTGGGAAGGGCTCAACCAACTCCCATTCCCTCTTCCACGCTGGGGCAAAGTCAAACCCAGGCACCTCCCACTCCAGGGAACTTTGGCCCCAGCCCTGAGACCAGTTCAGACAGAAGATGACAAGGGAAAGTATACAGGTAAGTGACGGCCTCACTGGGGGACTCAAATCCTGATACGAGTAGGGGAACAGGTCATGCTTCTCCGGGGCCCGGATCTATAGCTCCAGCTCCCTCTTCCCTCAACCCCAGCAGTCCAGGCCCCCAGCCCCAGAGCCCCAGCCCCTTCCTCCCTCGGAGCCAGGAGTCCAGGCCCCGGCCCCCTCCTCCCTCAGACCCAGGAGTCCAGGCCCCGGCCCCCTCCTCCCTCAGACCCAGGAGTCCAGGCCCCCAGCCCCCTCCTCCCTCAGACCCAGGAGCACAGGCCCCCAGCCCCTCCTCCTTCAGACCCAGGAGTCCAGGCCCCCAGCCCCCTCCTCCCTCAGACCCAGGAGTCCAGGCCCCCAGCCTCTCCTCCCTCAGACCCAGGAGTCCAGGCCCCCGGCCCCTCCTCCCTCAGACCCAGGAGTCCAGGCCCCCAACCCCTCCTCCCTCAGACCCAGGAATTCAAGTCCATATTCTTTCAGGGTATTAGATCCACTGAATTCAGATTGCTTGAAGCCCCCCAGCCCCACACTTTGGACACCAGTGGTTCCAATTCCCTTCAGATCCCAGGGCAGAGGGGTAGCCGCATGGACCTGGAGGCCACCCCAGTCGGCAATGGACACTGTCCAGATGAAGACCTCTTGTGGTCCTGCTGGAGGTCAGCAGGGGAGAGCACGTCCAGCAGGGTGGCCTCCGCCCAGTGTTCTTGGACCTCACGATGCCTCTGTCCCCAGGCCAGTGGGAAGGCAGCCGGGTCGTGAGAGACAACAGCCTCGCCTGCTCCTGCCCTGCGAGCTGTCTGAGCTGACACAGCCAGTGAGAACGGATGTGAATGGCAGCGGGGACGGGTCGGCAGGTGAGTCGCGGGGAGAGGCTGTGGGGCTTCAATGTCCGAAAGTCTGGGCCATGAAGTCTGAGGAGTAGCCCTGGATAGTGCGGGGCCACCGGCCTCTGGCATGATTAGAGCGCTGCTCCCAAACACGGCCGCTAGGTGGCGATGTGTAGCCTGCATAAGCTTGTGGCCCTGCTTCCGTCCATGAGGGGACAGGACACCCACAGTGTGGACGGTATGAACACACAGGGCAGAGACAGCCAGCATCTGGCCAAGAGATCAGCCCTCAGAGGGAACCAAAATGGAAAAGAGCAAAAGACAGTAAGAAAGGGAAGAGCAAGAATGAGGAAAAGAGACAGAAAAATAGAAAACACAAACTTGAAAGAACAGAAAACAAGACCAAGAGATGCCAAAATAGATACAGAGAAAGAGAGACTGGAACAAGAGACAAGAGGGAGAGAAACTCAGGGAAAGTGATGCCTGGAGAAATCAGGAAAAAATATGAGAGTGGGATAAAGAGAAGCCACGAGAGAGAGGACAAGGAAATAGGACAGAGATGACAACCAGACTTCAGCAGCATAGCAGAGTGAAAGGGAGACCCACAGCAATGAAGACAGACTGCGAGGGACAGAATGATGCCAAGACTTGGAGAGAAACTGTCTCAGTGATGCTTGGAGACTGGTATCCAGGAGAGAGAGAGAAAAGGGGCAAAAAAACACACCCACAAGGCAGAGAAGGTGCCAGGCACAGTACCCAGATGCGAAATCTGCACTGGTCAGAGTCCCTGTCACACTGGGAGATGCTCTCTTCATCTTCGCAGGACATTTCTCTAGAAAAAGGGCTCTCACCTCAGCTGAGACAAGGTGCCCCATCATCCGACACCCCAAGCCATAGGGATTGGGCCCAAAGGAGACTTTCACATGGTAGATAGGCATTTGGGACAAAGATTGCAAAAGTATGGGGGCTGAATTATGAAATAAGGGCCCTGACCGGTTTGGCTCAGTGGTTGGAGCGTCGGCCTGCGGTCCAGAGAGACCTGGGTTCGGTTCCCGCTAAGGGCATGTGCCTCGGTTGCAGTTTGTCCCCGCCCCTGGTTGGGTTGTGTGGGTGGCAACCATTCGATGTGTCCCTTTCACGTCGATGTTTCTCTCTCTCTCCCTCCCACTCTATCTGAACAAAAGACGAAAGGTGTCCTCAGGTGAAGATTAAAAAAAAATTGTTTTTTAAAGAAATAAGGAAGGTTGGAGGGTGCACAGGGCAGGGCTCTATAACCTTATGGGGCCTCCACTGTGTCTCATTACAGCCCAGGCCTGTCCCCACCATAATTCAGGACTGTGTCTCAATATATCCCAGGGGTGTCACCATCAAAGCCCAAGGTGGTCCCTGTCATAGTCTCATACTGTTGTTCGCACTTCAGGCCTGTCCCCACATCACAGCCCAGGAAGAGTCCCTATCACAGTGCAGTGCTATTCTGTTCTCACCCAGAGACTGTTCCTATCACAGCTGCAAACTGTCCTTGTCACAGTCCAGGACTGATCCCTTCACATGTACAACTGTCCCATTAGAGGCCAGGACTCTCCTATCACAGGCCAGAACTGATCTATGATAGCCCAAGACTCTCCTCCACAGCCCAGCCCCAGACTGTCCCTGTCACCGTGACTGTTCCCCCAGATCCCCAGGAGTGCCCCAGTCATGGCCCAGGCCTGTCTCCGTCAGCCACTGAGACTCTAAGAAAGTAAAAATCTGCCCAGCTCTCCATCCAGCTGGGCTGAGAGACCCAGGCACAGTCAGGTGCCAAGTCAACAGGGAACACTTCTCCCAAGGTTATGCTGTAGCTGTCAAGGATTGTAATGATCCCCTGTTCTTGGACTTGTTACTGTTTCCTTCCCCACTGAGACACCTTGTTCTCTAAAATCACAGCCTCTCCCAAACTCTGCTGGTTGGCATCATATCGGCAAGAATGGACTAGCTCAGTTTTGCCTGGAGTATCCCTGTCACTCTGACAATGACAAGCTGCCTCGATTTCCCACCCAGGTGCGGAGCTTCAGATAAGGGGTTTCGGGGACACAACGGTCCACATCTAGCTTAACCTTTAGTGCCAAGAAGATGGGGTCTGGAATCCAATTCCCAGTCCAGACCTGAGGATGAACTCTGCACCTTCATCCTACCGTCTCCCCTACAGATCCTGGGAGCCCCTATCCCGGTGCCTCCTTTCTCAGTCTCCCGCGGAGTCCCGTGCCTCTCCCATTACTGTCCCCTCCTCAGACCTTCTGTTCCGATCTCCTTCCCACTAATTATGTCCCCCAACCGCCCACTAAAGTCCCCGACTCCTTTCCAATGGGGCCCCCTCCTCCTGGGCGCCTCGCAGCGGCACCCGAGAGCCGGGGCGCGGGCTGCGACGAGGGGTCCTCTAGGAAGTGCGCCTCCCCGCGGGCTTCTCCATCCCCCAGCGCGGTGGCCCCGCGAACCCACCTGCACCAGCGCGGCTGTCGCCATGGTCGTTGCGGAGGGTAACTGCCAGCCCCAGATGAAGACGATCAGGCCCCGCCCGGGCCACGCCTCCTCCCCACCCGAGCCCCCAGGCTTCCTGGATTACACGTTGCCCTCGTGGAGACCGGCCTGGCGCAGGGCGCATGCGCCCAGCGCGCGGCGCTCAGGGCACTAAATCGAAATCCACCCTCCTCCCAGCCCCCACCCAGGGCTGTTCCAGCCACCCTATAGCTGCTCAGGAGCGTGCACGCCTCCTTGTCAGAAATGCATTTTAATAGGCCAAGGAGCGCGAGTGAGGACAAGCAGCCCGAGGTAAGAGGATAGGCCAGGACCTCCGTGGGTCTCGATGCCGCGCTTGGTGGAAAGAAAAAACACGCTGGACACGCCGGTGGGTGCAGGCCCCGTAAATGAAAAGGGCAAAGGCCTCTGAGGAGGGTGGCAGGCAGGGATGGAGGGGTTGCAGTCCCAAACCCCTCTTGGAATATGTTTTTCTTTCCAACGAGAACATGTGTATTCTTTGTAATTTTTTTAAGAGAGAAAGACAGGGTTCACCTTGCTTCCTTCCAGCCCCTCTCATCAGTGGAGCTCGAAAATGTTCAATCCCCAAACGCATCCCTGAGCGCCTAAAACTAGCTCCGCGAGCAGCGGGATCTCCTGGTTCCGGCCCTTCGTGTCTCCCCAACTTCAGGAACCCCAGCAGCTGAGTCAGTCCATTGCTCTCAGTCACTGTGCCCCCCAACCCCTCCGTGGTCAGCTCCCTCCACTCCTGCATCCAGGTTACTGTCACTCCAAACTATTGTCCCTGCCGTATCTTCCAACGTCGGCCCTGAGCCACTATGCCTCCGTAATTCTGCTCTGGGGCATTTTGTCCCCCGATTCTGTCCCCCAGACTTAACAGCCGCAGGCCCGGGTGTTCCTACTCTGCACGTCCCTGCAGCAGGGTGCCTTCCTGTTTTCTTCCCTCCTCCTCACCACCCTGCCAGGGCCCGCGGGGCTGTGGCGCCCGCGGCCGGCTCAGCCCCGCCTCCGCCAATCGGACACTGTCGCACACCCCCCGCGGCGGCCAATCCTCAGCAGCCGGGCAGCTCCACCCCGCCACCTGGGGAACGCACCCGCCACCGGGCCCCCCACCCCACTTCGGGGAACCCGGGGTCAGCCCTCCAAAGCCCCCCAGTTTCCCCGCCCCGCTTCCTACTCCCCCAAACCCAGGAGTCCACACCCCAGCTCCTCTCCCGGTCCCAGGAGTCTCCATCCCCAGCCTCCTCTTCCCTCAAAACTTTGAGCGCAGGCCACCCTCCTGCCCCACAGGCCGCGAGGCCCAGAAGACACGGCCCTCGACTTCACCTCCTGAATTATCTCCTCATTAGGATTTCATCTACTCTCCCCCGAGGAACTTTTAACTGGGGCGCTGGGGAAGCCAACCGCTCACACCTTTTCCTTGAGCACCTGGGGAGAGGCTCCTGCCCCAAGGTCCGCTGGGAGTTGCAGTCAGGGTGACTCCAGGGCTGGGGTGGCGGGGACGGGGTACCGGTGTGGCAGGACTCAAAAAAGGACCGAAAATAGCCCTGGCTGGTTTGGCTCAATGGTTAGAGCGTTGGCCTGCGGTCCAGAGAGACCCGGGTTCGGTTCCCGCTAAGGGCATGTACCTCGGTTGCAGTTTGTCCCCGGCCCTGGTTGGTCGTGCGGGTGGCAGCCACTCGATGTGTCCCTTTCACGTCGATGTTTCTCTCTCTCTCTCTCCCTCCCACTCTATCTGAACAACAACAAAAAAAATGTCCTCGAGTGAGGATTAAAAAAATTTTTTTAAATGACTGAAAATAAATGTAACGATGCCCTCCTCCTTTTGGCTGCAAATTGCTTTTACGGGAACCCGCCGGGTTTGGCACACTCGTAAATGTGCGTGATGTCTCTAGCTGGCTGCACCGAGAATTTGGGAGACTGAGTTTGGAGTGGGAGAGTCCTTGTCAGGGAAGCCCACGTGGAAATGTGGGAAATCAGGAAGGGATAGCAGGGGCCTCCACGGGGGTGCCCCACCTGGCCCTGCAACCGTACCCCCAGTCACCAGCAGCTCAATGCCTGCGCAGAAGCTGGGTTTGGGGGCCAGGGACACCGCGGCGGCCCCCACCTCCGCTGGCTGGCCCATGTGGCCCAGGGGCTGGCGAGAGACAAGGAGAAAAGGGATGTCAAGAGGAGCCCTCACCTAGTGCCCGCACACCATGCCACCTGGCCCTGGCCCCCACTCCTCCCTGGGCCACTGTGCCCTGCAGTACTGTGGCCTTGGGGGTGGGTGATGAGGATGCCAGCTCCTCCCACATGGAATCTGGGGAGATACTGGGGGAGGGAGAAGAATCAGGTGTGTCTGCAGCAAACACTGCTTCTTGGGTTCACTCCCGTCTCCCCAGTCCCCCAGGGGGCTCAGCCCACTTGGAGCTGCTCACCAGTTGACTTGGACGCCATATTGACTCATCCAGGGCCATGGTCTTGGTCACAGCTGTTAGTGCTCCCTACAGAGGACAGGGCCGGGAGAGAGTTCAGTCCAGGGACGATGAGGCATCTCCCGTGTCCTCTCCTCCCAACCAATGGGCCAAGCAGGGACACCAGAATGGGGGTCGTGTCCTCCCTGCAGGCTATGTTGGGGCGCACCAGGCTCTGTTTCTTGGGAGACACTTAGTGCTTAACACACTTGACAGACTTTTACGCCTCAGGTCTGAGGCCCCTAGGGGGCAGTAGGGAGGGAAGGAAGCAGCAGGGTACCCTGATGACCTACCTTGGTGGCCACATGGGGAACTGCCTGGGACTGGCCAATTGCCCCGACTAGGCTGGAAATGTTGATGACATTCCCCCTGCTCTTCCGCAGGTGGGGGAGGGCGAGCTGGGGAGACAGGAGGCAGCAAAAGCCACCCAAGGCCCCTAGATCTCCCCAAGCTAGGGCAACACACCCTGACATCTGGACAGATGTGTCTCCCTGGTCTGGGAGCTGACCTGGGTACCTCGTCGGGACAGTATCGGAGCCCCAGAGGGAACCTTCCCTGGCTCACCCCAGGGTCTCTGGGTCTCAGAGCTTAAAGAGTCTCTCACAGTCTGAAAGGGATTTTTCTCTGTCTCTGTCTCTCCCCCCACCACCCTCTCTGGGTCCCTGTACCCCTCTCTCTGAGTCTTTGCATGGCTGCATTTGTTTTTGCAAAAAATAGGAGGAAGCTCTTTCATCCACGGAGGGGAAGGCAGTTTCTGAGTTTTAGGGAGAGCTCTGTGGTCAGAATGTGATGTTGGAGATCTTTGTGAAGTGCACCCCATATTCTGCCAACTTTTCCCCTAAAACTCCCTGGCTACCTGGAGGTCCCTATACTCACTTTTTCTCAACTCTCTCTCCTTTTCCCTCTCATTCCCTCCCTCTCTGTCTCCCAGTCCTTGCAGTATCTGTGACCTTGGAGAAACTCAAATTCTGCCCTTCCCCTTGTTTGCTTTGGGCAGCTGAGCTGGTCAGGCAAGGCTCATTCCTGCCACTAAAGATCAGCATGACCAGCCAGCTCCCCCAGGGGTTCTCAGAGTGGGAATCTCAATTGGCTCCCTCTCCTGTTCACCCCAGCAGCTCTTTCAAACCTCCTTCCTCTCTCAAAAACAGCCTCCGCCCTGTTCTCAGTGCCTTATCTTCATGTAGGCCCTGAGTGTTCCGACCTCAGGGCCTTTGCACTTGCTGTTCCCTCTACCTGGAATGCTTTTCCTAAGATAGCCATGCGACTCACTCCTAGGGTGACCAACCATCCTTATTTGGCCAGTACTAAAGGGTTTCTGGGGACATGGGACATTCAGTCCACAATTTCAGTGCTGAAGTGGGACAGTCCTAGATAAACCGACCCCCTCAGCAACTTCAAATCCTGTTCCAATGTTACCTTCTCACTGGGGCCTTCCCTGACCTGACCATCCTATTTTCTTAAAACTGCACCCTTCCTCTCCCTGGGTCCCCACCCCTTCCTGATTCCTTTTTTCTGTGGCACACATGTCCTTGTGACACACCATATGTATTTTACTTACTCATTTGCTTATTCTCTGTCTCTCGCACCAGAACGCAAAAATCCACAACGGGACTGCTGACCTTAGTTATTTTCATCCCCAGTACTGATGTGTCTGGCACATAGGTGCTCAATAAATATCTTTTGAGTAAGTGAATGGATTTATTGAGGATCTATTATGTGCCTGACGCTGTTTACAGCAATTTACACAGATGAGCTCATTTAGGAACAGAAGGGTGACGGACATACACCGAGGGTCCTGAGACACCCGACAGAACCAGTATTTACAGCCCCACAGCCTGAGACCAAAACCACAACCAAATAAGAATTTCTGACAACTCTGTGTTAAGAACCTATGATATCGCGTGAGTGACATGAGTATGTGGGCCTTGGGGGCAAGGTGGAATTCTAATCCTCCAGCCTCCCCCCCCAGGGATCCCCCACAGTCATCCTCCCCTCCCCCCCACTCTCAACAGCCTTAAAACCCTCCCTCTCTCAGGCCTGGGGCTCGCCCAGCCCCCACCCCTGGCCCTGGCCCTGCCCCCACCATATTTTTCTCCTTAATCCAACTACCTGTCTCCCTCCCCACTACCACCCTGTGAATGTGAGGTCCATGAGGCTGAGACATGGTTCATTTGTCACCCACTTCCCAGCACAGGGGACACAGCTGCCAGCAAATAAATATTTGTCACACACTCCCCTTCCCAACCCTCCCACACATTCCTTGGCCATGTCCTCCCTGCCCCCCTCTCAAGGTCACCTGGTAGCTACATCAAGGACCTGCTGGACTCTTATTGGCCTGACTCCGCCCCCCCTTCAGACACCCAGTCTGGGGAGCCCCGGCTTTCCTGGTGCCCTGCAGCCTTGCTCTGGCTGGGCTCCATTTCGCTTCAATGTTGGGGGCCCTGGGTCCTTCTCACTCCGCCTGGGGAGTCCCTACTTTGTTGGTTTCCCGCCAGCATCTCCTAAATCTCCCTCAGAACCCCCACCCTGGGGTCTCTCCATCTCAATATCTCAAGTGCAGATGTCACCCCATTGTCTCCTCCTACAACCTGCCTCTCTTCCTGGTTCCCAGCCTTGGACATGGGACCCACACTCCCACCCAGTTCTCAAGCCACAGACTGGGAGGACTGGGAGTCTTCCGAGCCTCCCTCTCCCTCAATTCCTCATCCGATCCATCACTTTCTTGCTCAAATACCTTCCATGGCTCCCTATTGCTCCTGAGATGAAGACCGGACACGTGGCATGGCCCTCTAGGCCCCATGTGACCAACCCCCCAAATCCCTTCCTATACCACCCCCTCCTCACTCCACTCAGTCCCTCAGCAGCACCAAACCCTCGCTCACTGCCAGGCCTTTGCACAGGTTGTCCCCTCTGCCAGGAACACTTGCACCTCCGAGTTGTCGCATCAAGGACCCACTGGACACTTACTGGTCTGAGTCTCCCTTCCCTCTCCCTCCCTTGGACACTGGGTCTGGAGAACCCCCTTCACCACCCCTTTATTTTTATTTTATTTTATTATTTTTTTTTATCCTCACCCGAGGACACTTTTTGATATTTTGTTCAGATAGAGTGGGAGGGAGGGAGGGAGGGAGGGAGGGAGACATCGACGTGAAAGGGACACACCGAGTGGCTGCCACCCGCACAACCCAACCAGGGCCGGGGACAAACCGCAACCGAGGTACATGCCCTTAGCGGGAACCGAACCCGGGTCTCTGGGGACCACAAGCCGACGCTCTAACTGCTGAGCCAAACCGGCCAGGGCTCACCACCCCTTTAGTTGATGCGGCTCATCTTTTGCTTCTTCCAGGAAGTCTGCCCTGACCCCCAGAACAAGCCAGACTCCCTGTAACACATCTCCTTCCTACACAAAACACACCCCAGAAACTCATCTCTGCATTTACTTAATAATGCCTGGCCCTGGCCAGTTTGGCTCAATGGTTGCAACATCGGCCTGCAGACCAGAGAGTCCTGGGTTCGGTTCCCACTAGGGGCATATACCAGAAAAAATAAAATCAATAAAGAAAAAATAATAATAATTCCTGGCTACCCCATGACTATGAACTCCACAATGGCAAAGACCACGTGGTGAATCCCCCGCACCTAGAATACTGCCTGACACCTATCTAGGTTTATTTATTGATAAATAAATAGATGAATGAGTGGATAGGTCTCTAAGAACCAATCCAGCTCTGAGAGTCTAAAACAGACATTCCTGTGCTCGAACACCTTCTTTGGATCCTTACTTCCCACAAGATCTTATTTCCTTGACCCTAGAAAGGTCCCTAATTCTTCCACTGTTTTCGCTAGCCTAGGGAATCAGAAACTTTGGCTTGTTTCAAAACCCACCGGGGAGACCAATGGTCCGGAGGGCCTCATTCAGGAGGTTTGGGCTGGGCCCCAAGAGTCAACCTTTCAAGAGCTTCCAAGGAAAATGTTGGTGGTAATGATGATGATGGTGGTGATAATGATGTTGATGGTGATGAAGATGATGGTGGTGGTGTTGGCAATGATGATGATGATGACGATGGTTATATTTTTTTTTTTTTTATCCTCACCCGAGGATATTTTCCATTTTTTTGTACAGACAGAGTGGGAGGGAGAGAGAGGAAGAGAGAGAGAGGGAAACATTGATGTGAAAGGGACACATCGAGTGGCTGCCACCCGCACAACCAACCAGGGCCGGGGACAAACTGCAACCGAGGTACGTGCCCTTAGCGGGAACCGAACCCGGGTCTCTCCGGACCGCAGGCCGACGCTCTAACCGCTGAGCCAAACTGGCCAGGGCACGATGGTTATATTGATGGTGATGATATTAACAGGGATGGCTGTGATGATAACAGTGATTTGATGATGATGATGGTGATAATGGCAGCAACTTACTCATGTTGACAAATTTCCTTGCAGCAGGCACAGTTTAGGTGCTGGGACAGAGGCAGGGACAAGAGACAGAAGCCTTTGCCCTCCAGAAAGTGTAGTGGGTGGGCCTGGTCTGGTGTAAACAAGCCAACCATAATAAGACATTTGGGAACAGCGGGGTGAATTCAAACAGGGCTTGGGGCCCTGACCGATTTGGCTCAGTGGTTAGAGCATCAGTCTGCAGACCAAATGGTCGTGGGCTCGATTCCCAGTCAAGGGCACATACCTGGTCTGTGGGTTTGATCCCCAGCCCTGGTCAGTGTCGTGAGGGAGTCAACCAATCGATGTGTCTCTCTCACATTGATGTTTCTCTCTCTCTCTCTCTCTCTCTCTCTCTCTCTCTCCCCCTATTCTTCCCTCTCTCCCTATTCTTCCCTCTCTCCCTCCCTCCCCCTCCCTCCCACTCTGTCTGAAAATCAATGGAAAAATATCCCTGGGTGAGGATTGAAAAAAAAAATAGGGCTTGGATATTAAATAGTATTAAGACATTACTGTTAATTTTCTTAAAAGACATAATGGCAGTTTGGTTATGTAAAAAAAAAAGTCTTAATTTAAATGTTTAATATAAAGTGTAATGTATTTTTTTTTTTATCCTCAACCAAGAACATTTTTTCATTTTTTGTACAGATAGAGTGGGAGGGAGAGAGAGGAAGGGAGAGAGAGAGAGAAACATCGATGTGAAGGGACACACCAGGGCCGGGGACAAACTGCAACCAAGGTACATGCCCTTAGCGGGAACCGAACCCGGGTCTCTCTGGACCACAGGCCGATGCTCTAACCGCTGAGCCAAACTGGCCAGGGCATAAATGTATTATTAAATTAAAGCATTTAGCTCTCGCCCTACCTGGGTGGCTCAGTGGTTGAGTGGTATCCCGTGCACCAAGAGGTCACCAGTTCAATTTCCTGTCAGGGCACATGCCTCAATTGCGGGCTTGACCCCCAA